AATGATTTGATCATCTTGGTGAATTATATGATGTAATTATCCCGGCATGTTTCTTATCTATTTAAAACAAATTAATTTTGTTATTTTTAATAGTTTTACATTTATACTTTAAGTAAAAACAATTGTATATTTAAAATTATTGTAATTAAATTTCTAAATAAAATAATTAAATATATTTGATGTAATTATTAATTAAGTTTGACTGATTTTGTATGTTTGAAATTACAATTGATTTTAAATTGATTTTAATAAAAGTGTTCTAGTTGTTTGTTATTGTATAAACAAATAAATATAAACAATATAAACAAATACTGTTAGCAATCAGTAAATATTTATAATTAAAATAATACTACACTTTACTAATTATTTAATTTCAATTTAATTTTTTAATAAAACTAAACCATATTAATTATTGTTAAAATTACGTTAAAGTTATTTATGCAGTTTTTATATTTGTATTTTGAAGTATATTGTTAATTAAAAAACTTTCCATAAATATCAGATTTTAAAATAAAATATTATTATAACTTGTGGCAATAATTATCTAATTTTAATATAGTTAATTACTGTGATATTTTAACAACATTTACAATTTGTTAACATTTATATTTATAAGTGTTCTAGATGTAAGAGTGTTCTGGATGTTTGTCAAAGTAAAGTTCTTGTTAAAGTTCTGTGTTCTAAAAGTTTTTTACATTAGACTGCCATAATAAAATTAACCAACTTAGCAAATTATTTATACAATGATTTATATGTTAGTGTACAGTCTATCTACAATAAAAATAAGTCCCAATAACAAAACTTTTGGATATGACTAGTGGTCAACCGGCGGTGTTTGGCCGCAGAATGTCCTAAACATTTATCAATGAGTTAACTGACCCGGTGTCCAGTCGACCGGTGTCTGGTGTCCACCTGTAGTAGTAATTATATAACGTAATTGGCAAGATAACTTTTTTAAATAGTTTAATAATCTTGGTGAATTATTTGTTTTATCTAATATAACAAATTTTATTATTTATAAAAGTCTTAGAGAGTGACTATTAATAAAAATAATTTAATATTTGAAATTATTTAATTTAAATTTTAAATTATTTCTATAAAGTGTTCTAGATGTTTGTTAAGAGTAAATACTGTTAGCAATCAGTAAATATTTTTAATTAAAATGATGGATACACTTTACTAATTGTTTTAATTTAAATTTAATTATGTACAAAACTTAACTATATTCATTATTGTTAAGATTACTATGATCAATCATTTGCATAAAAATAGACTTCAAAACACCTGCAACTTTCCATTTATATTATTATTTAAAAGTTTTACCATAATTTAAAATATTTTTACTTTAATATTGCAGTAGTTACACTTAAATTATTGCATATTTGTATATTTTTTTCCTACCCAATATAATTTATGAAAACATTGACACTTTTATTATATCAATACTTTATAATTTAAATAATTAGATTTGTAACAATTGCATTTGTGAGAATAATTTTTAAAACTGCATTAATAAATAATTGAAAAACTTGTATTATTAAATAGCTGTTTATAAACAAAGCTTAAAAATAACAAAATTATATTATTTTTAATATGTTTGAAAATTATTTTTTGTAGATTATTTTTATGCACATACAAAATTTCAGCTATGGATAATGTGGTTTATAGAATCATTCGGCCCCTTCCCCTTAGTAAAAATAGCTAGCTAAAAACATTTAATTATTTCATTATATTATTTTAAATATTATATGTTGCACATTACACATACCATAAATTTATAATTAATTTATCTATACAGTATAACATATTAATTAAAAATACGCAACAAATTATTACAATTATAATTTGTGTTAATATAAGATTTTAAATAAAGATAAAGTAAAGGAAAAACTTCTACGATAATTATTTTTGTAAATATTAAAATTATTATAATATCATTCACTACTCTTACTAATTTTATAATTAAAATATGTTTGACTGGTTTAAGATATTCCCGATTAAAATATCTTTAAATCAACTAATATGTAATGCATATTATAATAATTAAATAATACAGTTTTCAATAAAAATTATTTTTAATACCATTTAAAGTTTATTGATAATATTTGAATTAGAAAATCATATGTTAATTAACAACTTATTTTTGAGTTCCAATTAAATAATATTAATAAAATCTTGTATTGTTAAAATACTATTTATAAATATAAATACAGCTTAGAAAAAATAAAATTGTATTAGTTAAATTAATTTAATATTTATTAAAGGTATAAATATTCATTTATAAACATTAATGATCATTTAACCAATGAAATAAAATTACATTTAAACAACAATAGAATATTTGTAACCAGTATAGTTATTTTAATAAAAGTAATTTAATTACTAAATATGAACCATGTGGTATTTGCCAATTAAATTAACTAATTATGAAATATTTATAATCAAATATCTCAAAAGCTTGTGGTAAATTGGTCGGCCTATTGTTTGACCGATAAACACACGGCAGAAGTTGATTGGTTGATATTGTGGTTATTTGTCCGGATGCTTATAGTTGACACAATCTTATGTGTTTATAGTTTTTCAATTTGGTGGATTCTTTACTGTGCTTATTTAGGCGTTTATAAATTATCTTGCTAAAATGAATAGCAGTCAATCAGTTAAATTACTTATGTTGATTAAGTTTTATTTAAAAAGCTAAAATTTATAGTAATATAATTTTTGTTATATAAATGTCGCTTTTTGTCCACCCCATTTAACTTACAATTCTAAATGATTGTATTGTTAAACTAATTATTTAAGTCATTTATACAGTATATAAAATATATAATTAATAATTGGATTTATTTTAAATATTATTAAATATTCATTTATCCTATTAAGTAATTTATATAAAATTATACTAATTAACAAATGAATTTTATATCAATATATTCTGATGGAATATTTTATTACCACTAATATTATTTAAAATATAATTTGCAAATAAAATTTTAAATATAAATATTTATAATAGTTGTATACATTTGTATGTATTGCTTCCAAATTAATTAACCCAATTAACACCAGTATGTGATTTGTAATTAAGTTCTTCAAAAGTTGCACATGATCAATAAATGAAAATCTATAACAATAATTAATTATTAAATAATAGTTATTACTATACTCAAAGTTGTTGTTTATTTATAGCCAATTATTATTATATGATATATAATTCTAAATATAAAAATTGGTATCATTGGTAAGTTTACAGTTTTAATTTACCGTATTTTTTATAAATTTTTATGGAACCTAATCAATGTAGCTCGACCGCTAACTGGTCCCCGGCCCTGATTATTTCACCCATTATTGAATCAAAACTTTGTAATAGATAAAATAAAATTATTGCTTAAATAACACCTTGCACATATGACAAACATTTAGTTATTAAATAAATGATTTATTTATGAGTTTATTTAACATTTTAATAATTGTTATAACAATTTTATATGAATTATTACTGTATATTAAATGTAATGTAATTTTTTATAACAAGATATTTTTATTTAATTTGAATATAGATTATAATTATAAGTTATAATTTATAACACATTTAGAATTTATTTAATATATAAATAATACATTTAATGAAAAATATAACAAAATAGTTTAATCACATTTAGTTTGTTTCACAACACGTTTTGGTTTAATTGATATATTTATAGAAAGTTTATGTTTGTTGATTTCGTTAATCATGGTAAATTGGTATTTATAATTATGATTATTTGTTTAATATTATAATTATGTTTGTAGCAATAAAGAAAACAATTAAAATTATCTTTATCATAATGTATTGATACATGTCATAATTATACAGGAATTTGTTCATGAATTATAATATATGACTTATTATTGCCACATGCTCATAATAATTGATGAATAGTTAATGATAATAATTATTATAATTAACATTAATAACTTATTGTTACAAAATATTGATTGTTAATCAATAAAATTAATTCTGTGCATGTTTAGTTAATGTCAATAGAATTTTGGTTTAAATTATTAAATTATAAATAATTTAATATCAACATGATTTAATCATGTAACATTTATTACGTATGATCATGATCGATTACATTTAACAACTCATCATCATTGCCATCGACCACATCCGGGTCCTCATCGGCCACACCATCGGTGGTGACCGTCAGGTCTGTGAGCGCCTGTCGGGCCAAATAGCGCTCGCGTTTAATCTTATGCTCGACTTCTACGGGAATGTCGGGCACCAGGAGGTCAATGAGTCGGCACACACTGAACACCAAGTGTTCAAACACTACTATGAAAGCGAACCGAACGAATTGCAGTTTCCAGTAGAACGGCGTGTGCGCACCCGACCCGTCCCGCCAGTCCCGGTACCGACACGTGTTGTTCATTGTATGGGCCGGTGCTGTGGCCAGAGTGTAGTTCACATATCCAGTCAATGATTGGTCGTAGTCCTGACGATTTGACCCATTTCGTAGTGGTATAGCATTTTGGGTATGAAGTCTGATGTGAATGCTATGAGAAATGCCTAAATGGATACAAATTAAATAATATTTTTAAATAATCCAGATACAATTATTAATTATTTTATTATTAATGTTTGAGGAAATAATAATGAAATGTTTATTTATTAAAAGTGATAAAATAAAACCATTTTCCAAATCTAATATATTGTTATAATTAATTATATATTGGCTGATCTTTTGATTCCAATTTATAAAATATCAATATATTATTTTTCACAATAATTATTATTTGTTTTATATTGTTAAATGCAGTTTTTAATATAAATCATTTTAAGTTTACATAAAGTAGTTAATACTATAGAATACTATTTGGTATCTTAACAGATAACTTAAAATTCGTTTTTCATTCAAACACGTAAAATTTATTTAATTTATTTAAATCTGGGAAATTTAATTATGACCACAAAAATTACTTACATTACTAATGACGGCGATATGTGCTATGAATGTAAGTATTGGAAACCAAACACCGATATTGTTGGCCCTGTCGGGCGCCGGTCTCCGTGTGTGACAAACAAGTTTATGGGCGTCCAGTCGTATCTCAAACCAGTTATTAAGCAATGCGAACAACGGGGCCAATGGGAACGCCGCCACAAAGATCGTGATGAAAC